CCGTGCTGGAGCGGGGCAGGTGAGTCTTGAGTGCTTGCCAGAGGGGTGTAGCCCAAATAGCAGCTCCAGGGCAGTGAGAGGCTCTGACTCAAAAAATATGGTAAACAGTGATAGACAACTGGGCGTTTGCCTGTGGCTATACAGGTGCGTGTATACACACACACACACACACACACACACACACACACACACACACACACCCTTGGCTACATAGTGAATTTTGAGATATTGCTTTGAAAATAGAAAAACAAACACACAACCTTGTCACACTGACTTGGTGTGGCAGGAGCTAAAGAGGATAGAGTGTCTGGTGGGTATGAGGGTCTGGAGGCTCCCGCTGTCTAGACCAGGTACTGTTTTGTGGCAGCGGTGTGAGCTGCCACCTTGGTGGACTTCCTCAGAGAGAGCAGTGAACATCACTGGCCTTGCTGTGGGTGGCTGGGTTCAGCCACCAATGCCGGGCTTGAGTAAGAAGCTTTTCACAGAGAGTAGGCTAGGGACTTGGACGATACAGAAAAGCCACCCCAACTCTGAAAGAATACAGGTTGGGTCCATGCAACCCTGGAGCCTGCAGGTAGAAGCCCTGCAGAAGGACCAATGAGGACACCAGCCCTGGAAAAGGCCTTTGTTGCTTTTAGACATACGTGTGACTCCTGTGGGAAGGACAAGAACCTTTCATCTTTGACAACTGTCGTCTTCAGTCTTCAGGGTATCTTTGAGGGAGAAAGTCGACATTCCCTTTTATGCAATTTGCATGAAATGAGATTTTAAATCGTAATGCATTTTAAAATACAGTTGTCAGACGGGTTAATGAGTGTTTTCCAGTGGCGTCTGGGCTTGAAATTCCCACCATGGCGGTTTCCAATGATCTTAAGGTTGACAGTCCCCTCGGTTGGAAATGCCTCAAATGGAATGCTTTCCATGCAGCTCTGAGGGTGAGCACTGTGAAGCAGCCTGTCTCTCCTGCTGTGAGACAAGGGACAAATGACTTAGAATAAAAGGCCCCATTACACTGATGTGGACTTTCCAGAAAGGCAAATGACTACTCCTGTGTGCGAGTGCCTGTAAGTGTGTGTGTGTGTGTGTGTATGTATGTGTGTGTGTGTGTGTGTGTGTGTGTATGCCTTGTGTGTGTGTGCACGTGTGTGTGCGCGTGTGTATATGCGTGTGTATATGCGTGTGTGTATGTGTGTGTGCATGTATATGCATGTGTGTGTGTGCACTTGTGCATGTGTCTGGGTATGCATGCATGTGTGTTCATGCACATCCAAGTGAGTGCATGTATATGCGTGTGTGTGTGTGTGTGTGTGTGTGTGTGTGTGTGTGTGTGTGTGTGTGTATGTGTGTGTGCTCATGAGCACATGTGTTTAGGAGCCATCACTTGGTTTTTTTTTTTTTTTTTAAGACAGGGTCTCTGTCTGGCCAGGGGTGGATCCTCTTGTCGGCCTCCTAAGTTCTGGGATTTAGTGTGTATGACCATGCCTGACTTTTATGTGGGCTCTGGACCATACTTGGGTCCTCCTGTTAATTGGACAAGAGTTTTACTCACTGAGCAAAAGTCCCCAGCCCGGGAACCTTCTCCCTTTTCTCTTTCAGATAAGAGTGAATTGACAGGAGTTGGGTGAGGACCCTTCTCCTATGTGCACCTGTGCAGTTAAGGAATCTGTGCTTCTGTGGCTCCAAGTATGGAGGTACTTCCATCAAAAGGAGGACTATGAGAGACTCTCCGTCTTTCCTGGCAGTGGTGGCACAGACATATCCCTCAGAAAAGCACTAGGGAAGGATTAGTCAGGTTCCTGGGAAGTAGGCATGTCGTTATCAAGAAGCCAGTCAGCTACCAGGTGGACCTCACACTTTTGATTCATAGGCATTCGTGTCATTTTGAACTGCCTGTGGCAGACCTCTAGGAGGGCCTCCAAATTGGCCTTTTGCTGAGAGTCAAGCCGGGAAGGTGACTTTTCTGCCATTGCCCATCTGTTGTCTCTGTTCTCCAGGTCGGGCCTGCACACCCTCAAGGTTCTGGCACCCCTGATGCAGGCTGGGTTTCTGGGGACCTGGGCTGCAGACTATGTGCTCAGCACCTGTTAGAAGCTGGGCAGATTCAGCTATGTGAGCGTTGTTGTCTGACAACACAGCTCTTAAGCTGCTAGTATTTTCATCGAGACGGCTTGCTTCTGGATGATGCTACCAGCGTGTGGTGCCACACAAGGTCCATCTCCATCTAGAGGGAACTTGGTGCCTCCTCATGTTTTCTCAGTTGGCTTGGTGTGGATTCTTACTGCCTTGGTGTGAGTCCACAGTGAGGTGACCCCCACAGCGAGGTAACCCCATAGTGAGGTTGCTCCACAGCTAGGTCACCATGGTAGAAGGGGTTTTCTGATGACTTCAGCTGCACACCACCTCTAATGCGAAAGTCTGAAATGTTGCAAGATTCCAATGGCTTTTGAGCAGAGTGTGGGATGCTAGGGTGGTACAGAGTCTGGGATGCTCGGGTGGTGCACAGTGTGGGATGCTCGGGTGGTACAGAGTGTGGGATGCTCGGGTGGTGCAGAGTCTGGGATGCTCGGGTGGGGCAGAGTGTGGGATGCGCGGGTGATGGAGAGTGTGGGATGCTCGGGTGATACAGAGCGTGGGATGCTCGGGTGGTCCAGAGTCTGGGATGCTCGGGTGGGGCAGAGTGTGGGATGCGCGGGTGATGGAGAGTGTGGGATGCTCGGGTGATACAGAGCGTGGGATGCTCGGGTGGTCCAGAGTCTGGGATGCTCGGGTGGGGCAGAGTGTGGGATGCGCGGGTGATGGAGAGTGTGGGATGCTCGGGTGATACAGAGCGTGGGATGCTCGGGTGGTCCAGAGTCTGGGATGCTCGGGTGGGGCAGAGTGTGGGATGCGCGGGTGATGGAGAGTGTGGGATGCTCGGGTGATACAGAGCGTGGGATGCTCGGGTGGTCCAGAGTCTGGGATGCTCGGGTGGGGCAGAGTGTGGGATGCGCGGGTGATGGAGAGTGTGGGATGCTCGGGTGATACAGAGCGTGGGATGCTCGGGTGGTCCAGAGTCTGGGATGCTCGGGTGGGGCAGAGTGTGGGATGCGCGGGTGATGGAGAGTGTGGGATGCTCGGGTGATACAGAGCGTGGGATGCTCGGGTGGTCCAGAGTCTGGGATGCTCGGGTGGGGCAGAGTGTGGGATGCGCGGGTGATGGAGAGTGTGGGATGCTCGGGTGATACAGAGCGTGGGATGCTCGGGTGGTCCAGAGTCTGGGATGCTCGGGTGGGGCAGAGTGTGGGATGCGCGGGTGATGGAGAGTGTGGGATGCTCGGGTGATACAGAGCGTGGGATGCTCGGGTGGTCCAGAGTCTGGGATGCTCGGGTGGGGCAGAGTGTGGGATGCGCGGGTGATGGAGAGTGTGGGATGCTCGGGTGATACAGAGCGTGGGATGCTCGGGTGGTCCAGAGTCTGGGATGCTCGGGTGGGGCAGAGTGTGGGATGCGCGGGTGATGGAGAGTGTGGGATGCTCGGGTGATACAGAGCGTGGGATGCTCGGGTGGTCCAGAGTCTGGGATGCTCGGGTGGGGCAGAGTGTGGGATGCGCGGGTGATGGAGAGTGTGGGATGCTCGGGTGATACAGAGCGTGGGATGCTCGGGTGGTCCAGAGTCTGGGATGCTCGGGTGGGGCAGAGTGTGGGATGCGCGGGTGATGGAGAGTGTGGGATGCTCGGGTGATACAGAGCGTGGGATGCTCGGGTGGTCCAGAGTCTGGGATGCTCGGGTGGGGCAGAGTGTGGGATGCGCGGGTGATGGAGAGTGTGGGATGCTCGGGTGATACAGAGCGTGGGATGCTCGGGTGGTCCAGAGTCTGGGATGCTCGGGTGGGGCAGAGTGTGGGATGCGCGGGTGATGGAGAGTGTGGGATGCTCGGGTGATACAGAGCGTGGGATGCTCGGGTGGTCCAGAGTCTGGGATGCTCGGGTGGGGCAGAGTGTGGGATGCGCGGGTGATGGAGAGTGTGGGATGCTCGGGTGATACAGAGCGTGGGATGCTCGGGTGGTCCAGAGTCTGGGATGCTCGGGTGGTGCAGAGTGTGGGATGCTCGGGTGGTGCAGAGTGTGGGAATATCCAGAACCCCAAGGGCTGAAGTGCTTGAACCAGATAATGGATGTTTAGGGTAGCCACCCTCTGTGTTTCTGACTGTAGACAATGGAGACACCTACCTCCCATTTGGTGTGGGGCTCTGCTGTAACACTGCCCTTGTTCTGGGGCTCCTTGAGGAAACAAGGAGAAGCCATGTTGCTGCTAGTGATGACTGCTAACACTTTAGATGCAGGTGCTGGACTTAGTACTCACACTTCAATTGTGCAGGTGCTGGACTTAGGACTCACACCTCACCACCACTATAATTTTCACTTTATTTTGAGGAAACCGAGACCCATGGGTTTGATCATGCAGTTGTGTGGTTGATGCTGGAATCCTGCGTATCTCCTCTGAGTATTTATTCTGCATTTTTCTAAGGCACACTGACAGGCATCCTTAATTCTTCCACCTCATTCACACTCCACCCTCGGCTGTCCTCTCCTGTGTCTAATGTTGCCTTAGCATGATTGATAGCTCAGGCATGGGTGAGGTGATGAGTCGGAACAGCCAGGGCGAACAGGACCCAAAGAGAGGCACAGTTTCAAGGGGCAGAGCACCCGAATCCTGGCCCAGCCTGGACTGTCTCGGGTCAAAGCTGGGGTAGAAAGGTGCATAATTTGGCATTGTTCTTGGCTGTAGGGTACCGCGTTGCCATGCCTGTTCTTGTTCTGGTGCTGTTTCCCAACTGGAATGTAGCTTTCTTACCCAGGAAAACTGAGTGTCCTTAAGGGAAACAGACTCCAGTGCCCTTTCCGTAGAAACAGCAATGATAATTTGTATAAGCCTCGTCAGAAACGTCAAGGAGAGGCGTTCTGCACGGCTTGGGACCAAGCACCGTCTAATGCTGCCTTCTCTGTTGTCCTCTCTGTAGATGCAGCAGCCAGAGCCTGGCTCTCCGAAGCATAGCCTGGCCATGCTAGCCAGGGGCCTGGGCCGCCTGCTGTGCTGGTGGTGGCTGGCTGAACTGATGGTCCACCTCATGTACATGCACGCCCTCTACAACAGCAGCCCCCTCCTGGAGAGCGCTTCCTGCTGGACCTTAGGTAACCGTGGGAACCACCCTTGGCAGCACCAGAAACAGCAGTTGGCTCTAGAGAGACACTGTCCTGTGGATGTTTGGATGCAGTGGCCTAGAGCCAACCTGCTTTATTGTTTAACCTTATTCCTCTTGTGGCCAAGGTTTTACATGCGTGGGCTGCTTGGTGTAGTTGATAGGGAGAGGGCTGAACCATGTGAACTGAGAGTCAAGGATGAGTGACCCCCCCCCCCCCCCCCATCCGAGTATGGCTGGACTTACACCTTTACCAGAGGCAGCATTGAATAGCAGGAGACAGCGGAGCTGCTGGCTGGTGCAGGAGGCTCTTCTGTGGGATGATGCGCTGAGATCCAGTCAGGCTGCATTCTTCCTTTTCCTGTGAGCTTCAGCATTGTGGAGGTGTAGGCTTGTATCCCGGCTCCCCCAGCCAAGGGTGGGCAGCCGTTGGTGGAGCTTACACGTGTCTGAACACCTTCCTCTCAAAAACAAGGCTTGCCCTTGAAGAGCTGCTTCGAGCGTTCAGTGAGATGGTGGGCCTCATGATTCTTCCTGTAGATACAGTAGATGGTGTGTGTGTGTGTGTGTGTGTGTGTGTGTGTGTGTGTGTGTGTGTGCAGTGTGCACATGTCCTGCAGATATAGTAGATAGTATGTGTGTATGTATGTGTGTGCACATGTCCTATAGATACAGTAGGTGGTGTGTGTGTATGTGTGTGCACATGTCCTGTAGATACAGTAGGTGGTGTGTGTGCATATGATGTGTGTGTGTGCACCTGCATTTCTCTGTTGGTCTGTTTTGCTTGTTTGCATCTTTCTCTATCCTGCAGCAAGGTGGAGTGGAAGTCTTATTTCCCCAGAACACAGTCTCCAGTTGTAGGATTTGTCTGTGAGAGAACCGCTGTCCTTTATTCCTCTGCTCCTAACAGCAGGGGCCACACATTCTGACCTGATCGTCATCCTCCTTCTCACTTGTCCTGCTCTGTTCCTTTGGGGACTCCTGTGTTCATCTGTTGTCTGACTTCCAGACTGCAGGAGTGCATTGCATGTGTGTGCAAGAAAGAACTCCATTTACATGTGTGCTTATGTGCATGCATGTTTGTGTCACCCCCCAGATTCAGCTGCTGAAGGCAAGTGTATAAGCCTGTGTCCTTATATGTTGGGTGGTTTATAGATTTTTCAGAATCTCTGTGGTCCTCATCACATGTGCTTACTCAGAACGTCTCTGAGGCAGGAGCCTCACAGGACCCAGAAAACACTGAATTGTTTTAATAATAACCTTTTTTTTCTGAGTAGATTTAAAACCTCAAATGGCATTTGTGCAGATCCTAACAGCATTTTCTTTGGTATGGGGGATTCTTAAGAATTGTTTTTTATCAAGGTGTCCCAATTGCACACATCTAGGAACCGCGTGTTCACCATGTGCTGATGAAGCCAGGGTGTTTGTCGCATTGTTTCAGACTCCTCTCCTACACATGGTTGTAGCTGAAGGTTAATACCGTTAAGTTTTAACCATACAAGGAGACCAACAGGATAGGACTGAAGCTTTGGCTGAACGGTGGAAAACAACTCAAAATGGGTCTTAAATGGCAAAGAAACATTGTCACATATGCCAGTCACACCTAAGAGCAGCATGGGGGAGGAGCAGATTCAGTGGCTCAGATTCAGCCAGTGAGCATCCTTACCTGGCTGAAGAACTAACTAGAATTTCAGAAGTGCTTTGTGCACAGAACCCATTAACTTTTCCCCTAGCTTTTCAAAGTGTGTGTGTGTGTGTGTGTGTGTGTGTGTGTGTGTGTGTGTGTGTGTGTGTGTGTGTGTGTGTGTGTGTGTGTGTGTGATTCTTGTCTCTCTCATGGTACTTGGACCATAGTTAAGTCCCTGCAATTGCATATTTTAACAGTTTCTCATCTAAGCAGGTTCACAGTGTTTTTCTCTGGAAATATGACCTTTTGGCTTGGCAATGTTTCTGAGACACATCCGAATTGATACACTGTAGCAGTTACTTCTCTGTTGTTGTGATAAAACACAATGACCAAGGCAACTTATAGACAACAGTTTATATTGGCTTATGGTTCCTGAGGGATCCTTCATATTGGGGAGGCAGGGCCCCAATTGGCAGGGATAGAGGAAGGAAAGAAAACCAAGAACCCATGTCTTGACACGAAAGTACAAAGCAGAGAGAGAGTGAATAGGAGGGGAACAAGACTATACACTCTTAAAGCTCACCCCAGTGCCACACTTCCTCCAGCAAGTATGCATCTCCTAAATTTCCCTAACAGTATCACCAACTGAGTACCAGGGGTTCAAATTAGAGACATTTCTCATTCTGACCACCATGTATATGTATGGTTCATCACCCGCTTTTTACTGGTGGACATCTTTCCAGTGAGTCCAGATGTCATGTGTGTCTTTCCCACAGGTGTGTGTGTGTGTGTGTGTGTGTGTGTGTGTGTGTGTGTGAGAGAGAAGAGAGAGAGAGAGAGAGAGAGAGAGAGAGAGAGAGAGAGGGAGCTTTGAGTTTTCCCAGGGTTTGCTATGCCGTATTTGCATTTCTGAGTCTCCTGGGGCTCACATGTATGAGTTTCCCTGTAGGGCAGTAATGTTAAACACTGGTACTTATTGTACAACAAGGAAAGTTTTCTCTGTATAAAAGTCTGCTCTCTCTCTCTCTCTCTCTCTCTCTCTCTCTCTCTCTCTCTCTCTCTCCGGAGGTAGTGAACTCTCACAAGGTTGTCATGTAAGCAGGTTCTAATCCACCGATAATGTGTTCTGATGTTCTGTTTCATATTATTAGGTGCTGGCCCCGAACCAGCCTGCTAACTGAGTCCTTCCAGGGTGTGTGAGACCCTGCTCTCGTGCATGTTCCTAGACAGGAAACGGCTGGCTCCCGTGCAGGGTGCATACTCAGACTTACACACTAATACCAAATCAGTTTTCTGGCTGGCTGATATTTTTGCTCCTCTGCACAGGGTTGAGCTTCTACCGCTGTATCTCATTGACACTTGACTTTGGCTTTTAGTTTTGAAAGTCTGATGAATATGGATTATACTTGTGGTGTCTATAGAAATGCATGGGGCCAAATGGCGAGGGACCAAAACCTCTGAAACTATGTGTGAAAAGAAATCTTTTCATAACTGTGCAAAGTCAAACAATGTACTTTCCACCCATTTAAGGTCAAGTTGTGTTTCACTCACATCCCTGTAGTTCAACCATGTGGTTCATGTGAAAATCATGACAACTTTGCTTTTGGTCTTTACATTGAAACGAAGAATCTTATTGTCCCCCAGTGGCATCTATGGTCCAGAGAATTACCTCATCAGCACCTTTTCACATCTGACAAACCCACCAACATTCTTACTGCCTGGAATCATTTTATTATTCCTCTATGATTTTTCCGAAGAGCTTCAGGCACTTTGTCACATTCTCCTGGGTGGCTGTGGTGTTGGGGTTTTCAAACACCCCCAAGACAGGCAAAGCTCCCAGCTCCCATCACCACTGTATGAAGTAAAATTGTATTACTGTTATATGCACCTGTATTGGTAACCAGAGTTAGATTCTGTGGAGTTATTTTCTGCATAATTTCATTTTATTTATAGCTGAATAGTATTCCACATTTTCATTATCCATTCATCTGTCAAAGGGCATTTGTGTTGTTTCCATTTCCTGGGTATCGTGACTAGGGCAGCTGTGAGCACTGCTAAGCAAGTGTCTGTGGGGTGTGATATCGAGCCCCTTCGGCTTATTCCAGGGAGTAGAATAGTGGGGTTGTATGATAGACTTCTTTTTAGTTTTTGAGTATTCTCCACACTGATTTCCAGAGTGGCTGGACTAATTTTCACTTCCCCAACTGCAAGGCTTTAAACTGTAAACTTTCTCCTTAGCCCCCTCCGTTTTCTCACCCTGCTCCTTGTCTCAAACCTCACTTTGCTCTGGGTACAGAGTCTACATCTGAAGGCACTGCAGTGAGGTGGCTTTCCTACCTGTGACTGGGGAAGTACAGGCTGGCACAGGGCCCCGGGGTGTGGCTCTGCCAGGAGGATTTGTTGAAGCTCTGGCTTCTCCCCCATTCCCTTCTGAACTGAACCATCCCACCAGACACCGGGGGCTTTGTGAGAGCCTTGCAGAAATCCCATTAGCTTTGCTATACAGGTTAAGAACCCATCGCTTACACTCTGTGTGCTCAGATGGGATGGACCTTTCCCTTCTTATAGTTAAATTATATCTGAAATCTGTCAAATACATGTGTTTTTATGGAAAAATGTAAAATAAAAAAAAGACTCAAATCGCAGCGTACTATGAGGAATGGGCTGACTGGGACATTAGCATTCTGGGTAAAGCCTGTTCTAGAATGGTGTGACCTCATTGCAAGTAGCTGGGCAGCTTCCCATTGCTTCTCAAGTGCCATGTTCTTTCGTGTCTGTCTGTGCGTCTGTGTGTCTGTTTTTCCCACAGCCACTCTCCTTGCCCCAGTGCTGCAGCACACAGGGCTTTGTCTTTGGACACAGCAAGCATGTTCCCTCTCCTGAGGCTCTCATTAGCTGTGCCTTCAGGCTGGAAGGCCTTTTTCCATCATTGCGGCTTTGCCTTCTTGTCATTCCCGTCACAGTTTAAATGCCACTGACCCCGAGAGACTTTCCTTGTGACCCAAACAGAAATAGCCGCCCTTCAGGTTCTCAGCTGAGGGTTTGCCTCAACCTGAGGTTTTCCTTCCTTCTCTGCTTCCCACCGCACGTATGAGCACCACACTCGTTGGACTTACTCACCACGATGCCCCCAGCACCTCCAACAGTAGTGAGCTGGTTGACTCCACACGTATTTGTTAAGTGTGAACAGTGCATAGTACACCTTTGCTGCTAACAGCAGGTGTTCTGGGATTGGGGCGCTCAGCTGGTGGTAGTGAGAGCATGAGGCTCTGAGTCTTTGGATCACCAGCACTCATAAAACACCTGGTGTGGCGGCGTGCCTCTTAACCCTGGCACCACAGGGAGAGGGTTGGCATTTTGGTTTT